CCAACAACTGGGGCCGGCCGTGTGATTATTTTGCAACACAGACACGATTACTTGCGACAAAAAGAAAGAGCCGGGTTGCTTGGATTCGTTGCTAACATGCGAAGGGGGCTCGCGCACTTATTTCCTCAGCAGCATCTTGTGGGACTAAGTTGTAGTCGCGCTCCATGAGCCGGAAGTAAACCAGACTCGACACACGAGTCATCCCTACGAAATCAAGCGCTATCGCGCGATGTGCAGCCGCATGGACTCGTGACCCACATCAGCAAGCTGCTGACACGGCGCATCGAGGATTGAGGGCTGATTCGCCTTGGTGTGGTTGAGGTTGGAGCACGTGATGCCTTCACATAAAACCGGCAAACCTAGAGAGGGTGCTAGTGTCGATCAAGTAGTTTCTGGGGTTTACCGCCAATGGGATATTGCCAGCTGGCGCCATGCTGGGCAGAAGCGTGTTGGCACCAAGAATGGGTCATACCCCAGGGCTGGATCTGAGAAGGAGTAATGCCCTCTCAATCACAACAGCAGTAGTGCACGTAGAACGCTTTTCTTGGGGAACTGCTACGATCATTTTCCTTCATCAATTCAAAAGTAGCTCGATTTCAATTGTAACTGCTGTGCCCGGTCCTTGGCAAGCCGTTTGCTAATGCTTCGTCATTGTATCGTTTACAGGTGCGGTTCCGCTCCTGTACTAGCGTACCTCATTCAGGTGCTCCTCGATTCCGACGTAGGCAAGACCTTTCTGCAAGAAGGTGATCAGCATGCCCGGCGCCACCTGGGTAAACGAGAGACGCGGCACGCGCACGACATACACAAGCGAATGGCGTTCTTCATTTTTGAATCCCGCCGCGAGGCTGGCTGACACCATCTCTTGCGTTAGCGCGGTCGACGCTGTTGAAAGAAACACACGCGGCTATGCATAGCAACGAGGGCAAAGGAGCGAGTGTCACAGGCGAATTAATTCACGACAGTTCAGGTGGCGGCCACGACTACCGAAACAAGGCCGCGACGCCTCAACATGGTGCCATGTAGCAGCCGGGTCCACCTTCATGTACCTACCCTCTTCGGCTCACGATCGCGTAGCGCAACCCCCGCCCAAACAAAACACGTGGTACAGCAATACTGCACACTGCCAGTCTCGCCGAGAAAAACACCCCACCGCTCAACGGGCTCGTGTACTTAAATGTCGTTCCATTGCAACGGAAAATTGAGCGTATTTGAGCCAGACTGCCGGCACGAAAGTCTTGTGATGCAAGTCCACAAATGAAGTAAAAAAATATTTCTGAATTGCGGGCGCTACACACGTGTAGCAATACCATACGCGCCAACACCGGCTTCGATCGCCGAAGGATCTGTAGCACACACCAGTTTGCAGCGTTTCTTTTGCAAATGACTTGGTAGTGCAGAGAGAGGCGCACGCCCGGAACTCAACATGTCGGTATGGCTTCATATGGCCACAGAGTACGTACACGTACACAACGAACCGAGAGGGTACATGCAGTGTGCACAGACGGCGCAATTCGTATGCATATCCCGCGCAGTCTCTCTTGCTGATTGTGGTTATATCTCTGAAAGATGGAGCGATGTAGACGAACACATGCAGAAATCGAAGCCGCGAATGGTGCGGCCCTCACCTGTGCTTCGGCGACGCTAGACTTGGTTATCTGGCTCTCATAAGCGAAAGTGAAGGCAGAGTGGGCGAAGCCTGCCGGGAAATAGGGATAGGGTCGGGGGGGTGGGGAAGGGTCAACCCCCATGCGTGAAATTTCTTCATCATACAGCTGGAGGGGGCAGCCGATAACTCACAAGCTGATCAACGCAACGAAACTAGTTATGGCTCCGAGGGGTTCAAGAAGCGACCAGATTGGCTGGGCACTGTTTTCAGGGCATCACCCAGTGTTGGTGTGAAGATAGAGACACGGATACTGGTACAAGGCATCGGCTGCTGACTGAGCTCGTACAACCTGTCCAGCAGACAGAGTAGGACAAAAATCGGTACAATATGATATCCTCACCAGACTCCTGAAGATAGCGATAGACGAGAAAGTTGACCTCTTCACTGCTGATAGCAGTTCCATTCTCCTTCCACGGCTTCATGCCTCGCACCAACCCTGGGCCTTGCGAGACTCAGAGCAGAGCCAGTACGACCGAGCGCAGCAGGAGAGGTTCGTGCTGCGGCACGCAGAATAGATAGTTGAGATCTTGTGTACCATCCATCTGTCGGTATCCGATGCGGCGTCCCCCTCCCAGAGCATCGAGGTACCACACGCTTCCCGAGCACCACTGCTAGCTGTCAACACCCTTCCGGATCAGGTACGAGAACCGGTGTAGCCTACGTTGGTTCCTGCACTGTCTTGTACCCTCATGCATCAGTCGTCAGTGGAACCACGGGCAGAAAGATTGCCGACTACGATCTCAGCTCTCTCTTCGGCTTGCCTAAATTTGTGGCCGTGTGTGGGTTGGTTCTACATGCCTTGATGTGTTGGGTTCAAGAAGAGTGGGTGGCGGGTAGGATAGGTGATCCCATGTGCCGAAAGCAGCAATTGATCATAGCCACGCAAAGTCTACTGGAGAATCGTTCCGTTGCATCCAGCAGCGCGGTGCGCTTGTCGGCGTTGTGCGTTCTGTCTAAAACGTGGAGGCTGTGCTGCACACCGTGTCTAATCCGACCGCCACGTTTGTGTTTGACCTACCCTTGGCCAACTCGTATGCATATCATAGCGACGAGCGGTGATAACACGCTAGTCCTCGAACCTGTGGTGAAAGCGTGCACTTTCCTGAGCACCTGGATCCTCCCACCTCTCGTGATTGCGAGCTGCGTGTCGCGGTCCTGGGCGCACTCGGCACACCACCATGTCGACATGTCGATTTCATCCCATTCTCAAACCCAAGTGCTCACTCAGCTGCATTGGCACGTGGGGGTTGATGGGGGAAGTGTGTACACAGGCGTTGTGAGGCCAACTGCTGTTTACTCTCGTTGTAAATCAACCATGTTTTCCTGGCCTTCGCTAGAAATCGATGTTTTGCTTGCATCGGCTCATCGTCTACAATACCGTCACACAAATATCGGCATAGCTTCGACCCCCCGACATCGCAGACTACTCCGCCCCTCCCAATCCCGACGCACAGGTTACTGCGGAAGTCTTGACCTTCTGCACCTCGTCCGGCCAGCTCCCTCTTCACCTCAAAGACCATGTCTGCTTACGTCAAGGGCAAAGGCCTCGGCCAGGAGGAGGCGCGGGTGCACCGCATCCGCATCACCCTCACCTCCAAGAACGTCAAGAACCTCGAGAAGGGTGCGTGCAATGCATGTATGCATACCGTTTTGTGGTTGAGCCGAGAGATGGCACACCTCATGAAGACATAAAAAGACCATGTATCAAAGCTCGATTGCCCCATTGCCCCACAATCAAGTGGGTGCTGAAAGGGTCCAATAGTATTCGGAAAACTAGGCCTGTCCTCCATCGGCCGTTTTATTTTCGATTTAGATACACAAACTTTATTTCTATGCTAATTTCAAGTAATTCCACCTTCTTTTTCTCCGTCATACAAGCAAAACGGCCGATGGAGGACAGGCCTACGGAAAACCTTCAACGAGACGTTTCGAAAACCGCCATTTTTGTTGTTGGCACACCATTTTTGTTGTTGGCACAAGCTTCGATGTGGGGGCAACCAAGCTTGGAAATCGGTGGTGCCTAGTGGTAAATCGGACCTAATGATTCGACCCACATGCGTTTAGCCTTTGCCTGCGGGTTGGAAGCATGGTGTTTACTTTTCTGCTATTTGCTAGAATCGATGTCCGTCTGCAGCTTGAGACGTAGAAAGTGCGCGGCGAAGACCCGTTGGATATCATGATCAGATCCGTTGAGTAATTATCAGATATTTTCGATAATCCCTGGGAGTGCCGCGACGGTTTGTAGTGATCGGCAGCGACTCGAACAACTACAAGCCCGTGGTTCTCCGAAAGGTGCGGGCTGGCGTGGTCTGCCTCGTGCTGCGCCGCAGCTGCTGCCAGGTGGTGTCGGTCACACCTGCATTTGTTCTGCGTCCATGGTTTGTTTACGGTGTTCATGGTAGCGGAGCCTCCCCAACTAAGTCATTTGTATTGACTTGCTCATCGAATCGAGTCCCGTTTGTTTTTCGGGGAAACATAACCCGTACTACTACATCCCCCACACATACACTGTGACATCACAGTGTCCCGCATTCCTCCACTCACACGACGAGAGCTGGACAAAGTGCTCTGCTTGTTTTGACACTCTGTCCGTGTGCTTTGCGCTCTCCCGCAGTTTGCGCGGACCTGAAGAAGGGTGCGGTCGAGAAGAAGCTCAAGGTTTCGGGACCCGTGCGCCTGCCCACCAAGAAGCTCAAGATCGTGACCCGCAAGTCGCCCTGCGGAGAGGGAACCAACACCTGGGACCGCTTCGAGATGCGCATCCACAAGCGCATCCTGGACCTGCACTCTCCCTCCGAGATCGTAAAGGAGATCACGTCGATCTCCATCGAGCCTGGAGTGGAGGTCGAGGTCACCATCGCCGACGCCGCGTTCTAACCTGCCTGTAGCTGATCGATGCGCTTTGCGTCAGTCAGTTGTCTTGGCTGATTAGATTTGTCCCTGTAAAGACGTTGTCTATTTAGTATACCAGGCACGGCGAAGGTTGGGGAGAATTCGGTGTCGAGCGACCCTGGTCCTGATATACCGAACGCTGGTGGTGGGTCCTATGAAGACAAGACAGGAAAGCATGACTTGCTTGTGTTTCGTCGATGGCAGCGTGTGACTGCTCTCAACGGGAGGCGATACTTTTTTTGCTTCGTTCTGGCTGGGCGGACAGGCCTTGGCATACTGCTGTTGTCCTCAGTCACACGTGTCGACACGTAGGAATATCGCCGACTCGATGCAGACAGGGCGTGGCAGCCGATGGCGTTGCTGTTTGCAGGGACTTGCGGTTTTCCCTAGTCTAGTGCAGACATTCACGGACACAACACACAACGTTGAAGCTGGCCTCACTCATCAAGCTTCACGACAACAACGTCATACAAATGAATGCGCTCCAGGTACACTTCGCTCATATTGCCGACACCAAATCTGAGGCATAATTTATCAAGAGACACGCTAGCTCACTTGTTGTTTCGCTAAGTCCAGTCTACACACACTTGAGCTTCTCCATCTCGTATGTTGTGTGCATGTGAGGATCGACCTGCCTCCCGGCTGTTAAGTCCAAATTTACCACTTTTTCAGAGCAGACGCAGAAACGCACCCGCATCGCGGATCCCTCACGGGTGCTTGCTGGCTGGCGGTCGGTGGGACGGTGGGGGGGGGTCTCAGCCTTAAAGGCGGGTTGCAAACTTGGCATGCACGCCCTTCACAATCAGTTTTACACACAACCCTTTTTCAACACCCGATTGATTGCTGTTCCGAGCATTCGTAAAGGACAAAATGTCAATTCCACCCTGCGTATGCTCCACTTTCAAAAACGTGCCAAGATGCATGCACACACGGCCGGCAAAATTGTACAGTTACGCTGCCCCCAACCAAAAAACCGACAAACGCAGCACTTGCCCCCGCAGGGAGCCGTACTTTAGCCGGGTTACCCACAAAACTACGATGAACTGAGGGAGCGTATGTGGTTTTTTGAACAGCCTTCCCCCCGGTGGACAGGCAGACAGGCTCGTGATACCTCCCCAGGCCTTCTAGCATGGACTTCCGCGATTGGTAATCATACGCACCCCGCCGAAGAAAAGAAAATTGTAGTGAAACAGTCAACCGTACGCCTGCTAACGCGTACATGACAAAATCACAACAAAACTACTCTCACGAAACAGAAAATGAAGACGACAAACAAGTACATTTCCCTGTTAGCAAAACAATTGTTGGCCGCCCGGCGGCCAAACGACGCACATGCAAGCACGGCAACCAGCGAGGTCATGACACCAAGCACCACTTAATGCTCAACGCTGTGAGTTCATCGCTAATCTGTCCCAGACTCTTTTCAGTGGAGGAGATGAATCTGTTGGGCAATACGAACAAGAAAAAAACACCCCACAAGGAGGCGGTCGCCCAGCCTAGTTCACGCCCAGCAGACGGGATGTCCGCGAGGAGAGCTTGTCCATCTCGAACCTTCGCATGAACGCCAGCAACCGTTCCGCCGCTCCTTCCCCTTCCAGATGGAAAGTTGGCACCGAGGCGAGGCTCTTGAGGCCTGTTCTTCGATCGAGGGGTACCGTTGTGCAGAGCTCGACCAGCCTTCGGGCGAGCAACACCTGCTCCCTCGTCTTGGCAACGAGTTCCTGTCAACGGCAGCGTGTTTGGCAAAATGTAGCCCCAAGTTTACTCCCAGTTGGTGGGGCTTGGACAAGACTCCGATAAGCACCAGTGAATCATGCTGTGTTTTGGGGTGCAGTTGATACTTGTTGATGATGAGGCACGTGGTAGGAACACTTCTCCCCACACGCTACAGCTGTTGTGTATTTCCGGCAAGACTCAACACAGAAGCGAAGTTTCCACCCTTGCCCTAACCCCGTACCAAACTACTTCGTACACTTGTATGCATACTCCGGAATACAAAGTAATAGAGAAAGGCTATCGTCTACAGCCTACAGAAGTGGTAGCCAGGGGGTTGCACCACCGCCTCACCGGGTCCTCATTTTTCTTCGATATCGTGCGACAAATCTCGTCCACCGCTGCTTCCAGTGTTTCGTGTTTCGCCAGCACCTGTCGTAATACGAAAGTATGCACCAAAATGATCGGCAGAACACTTTGATGAATTGCGCCTCTCCCACGCCTTTACCTTCAGAGGACCGTTGTTGTTGGGTGGTGGAGGTGGTCGCGGTTGTCATCGTCATTTAACCAGTAGAAAGTCCAAACATAGTGAGCCTTCGCAGCAGGCGACGTGCCAGAAAAAGGAGACCACCAAAGGGGATCGATACACAGGGACACCACACGATACGCGAGGCCAAGTCGAACAAGAGAAAACATGCCGAAGGCCCCCAGTCTAGCGTCGCGCAATTCTATGCTTGGTCCCCTTCTAGGCCTGAGCCGGCGGGGGTTGTAACCACCATCGGATTATCATCGATCATGCCATTTCCCCACACGTACCTACAAAGGAGCAGGGGGACTCTCAGAGATCGAGGCACAAGTTGACACCTGCATGCCCCATCTGAAATCAAAGGATCAAAGACACTTACATCTCCTGCATGCCGAAGTGCTCCGACCCCACGCAATTCTTCATCACGTAGGGGCTGGCGTCTCACTCTCTACCCGTGGTGTCTATTAATGCTGTATCGCCTCTCTCTGCCACGGATCCCCTCGCCCGTGATAACGACATTCCGTGTGTGCTTCGCATCAAAGTCTAACAGACGCCAACTACTGTAGTACTGTGTGCAACACCACCTGACCCTCTATAGTGCCTCCGCACCTTGGCTGCCTTAACGGGACCGTACCCCTCAGCCCCCACGATGCCGTCCGACTTGTCGCCAGCTATCGCAAGCAGGTCCGCTAGCCGTCCCGGAGGAGCGAGAAACTTCGCAAGCACCTGCTAGTTGCCGTCGTAAAAAACGACGAGTGTTGACGAAGCTGTTGTTGTTGTTGTTGTTGTTGTTATCACATTAGCTCTGTAGTCCACAAAAAATGGTGAGCCCGTAGTCTCAAAACCCGGCACATACGACGCCGCGGGGAAACAAAACAATATAGGGTACAAACCACTCGGAAAAAGAAAACAAAGTGACAGAAAGAAAAGAACAGCTACCGCACCGACCGGTCGAGAAAAGAACCCTCGAAGACCGATCCAAATAAAAACAAAAACAAAAATAGAGGAGGACGCTTCCCACATCCGCCTAAAGAAAAAAAAAACATGAGTAACGTACCAGCACCAGGCACTACGCACCAGGGCATGGGAGCAACGGAGCCAACAGGACAAAGGACAAAGAGGCGGCAGATGGGCAGACAGCCAGATGTAGAAAAACAAAAGCAACAGCAAAAGGGGGATCAAGGTACCCAACACGGCCGAGTAGGCAGGGAGGACATGGAACGAAGAAACACAGCACAGAGACCGAAGGCAATACAAAGGACATTCATAAAAGGAGTATAGCATACAGCAGGGAGGGAAACAGGGCGCAACAACATCAGCCGGGTACATTTAATAGCGAAGATCGCGTGTTCTCCGTCGCGTGGGGTACAAATGCGCACGTCGCCATTCCGTCTCGCGGCATTGGATACAACCACGCCTCCGCATTGATGAACCAGCACCAAAGGTACGGTTTCCGGCAGCAAACGACCGCATCAGCTACAATACATAACTCAACCCTTGGCGATGCTGAAAGAGCGAAACTCGCTTAACACGTCAAAAACACTGTTGCAGTGGCGGACACACGCATCATCCTAGGCATACAATTGCAACTTCAACACATCCTAGGCATACATCGGGGGCCCCTCTTAGCTGGGCCGGTTGAATCGCCGAGACAGACGGAAAAACTCAGGCCCGCTCCATGTTCTGGGGTACCGTAGTGCCGGATGCCTCCAGAAGTACCGGCAACAACGCCGCTGCGTACCGGCACTGCTGAGGACCCCGCACATAATCATACGTCCAAACACGTGGGATGCGCGAAGTGGTGTTGTCTGCTTTGGCGCTCACCTCCTCAGGGCCCAGTCTCTCCCCAGTGTAAACGTTAAGCATGTTTACCCTTCTCGTCACGAGCTGCGCTAGGTCCTTGTCTGCACTAACAATCGTTACGTTCGTCGCCCCTCCTATCACAGCCTGCCAGCCCGGAGTAAAGTAAGGGGAAACGAAGAAATGAGACTAGATGAGATGACACCATCATCGGGCGCTGTCTCGATCCGTTCTGCACGTAGCTCCTTCTGAAATGTTGCAAGCGGAACGGCCAAAATGAATTTGTATCAAAAGGCGTTGGCAGAATACGATCGCCGGTCGAAACTGGCGTGGGGATAACATGCACTATCCCAGGATCGGCACACATGTCCTTGTCCATGTCCAAGTCGAACAAGAGCAAGGCACAACAAACGCAAACGGCACGCCCTCGCAAACACTTTGCTCCGGTAGAGCGAGCGTCGAACCCATGTACTGTACATATGTACACGTTTCACCTTACCTCCAACGCTAAGGAGGCAATGACGTCATCGCCTTCGTAGCCGGGCCCTTCGATGGTCTCCAACCCGTACGCCTCGCAAGCTTTTCGGACCAATTCTAACTGTGGCCTGCGCTTTTCGAACCGCAAATAGGAAAGCATTGGTATTACAAGGGTCGGTGGTCGGAAGCACGATCATCGACCAGCGCAAGTGAAACGCCCCCCCCCCCCCCCCCCCCCCCCCCCCCCCCCCCCCCCCCCCCCCCCCCCCCCCCCCCCCCC